ACTCCTAAAATATATTTGGGCTGTATGTTCTCGGAAATATATATGCTAGCAGAGAATCTCTTTTTACCTACTCTTTTTTATAAGATAGTAAAATAATGACAAGCACTTGTGAAAGTCGAAAACTATGCCATCGCTTTACAAATCTTGAAACCACCGTGCGAACCACTCGGTCACAATGTCCTAGAATTTTAAATATAAATGGCGATAAAGGTACACTAATCATAAAACAATATAATAATATTTAAAGTGATATATTTATATATGTAATTGAATATATATAAATGGTTTTTATTTTACTTTTTAAACTTTTAAGAATTGTCTACAATATGACAACACTTTTTTGATCAACCTGTATATACAAATATAATGTCATCGTATATTATTGTGGTTTTCTGATCATTTCTTGAGAACTTCAACATTTTCCATGTGAAGTTTTTAAATACCAATATTGAATGTGGTTTCATAATAGTGTTTTAATAAAACAGTAACAAAATATTTAAATTTATTTTATAGAGCTTTATTTTTAAAAATCTCTTATCACAGTACGAAATGGAATGCGAACCCATAAAATTAATTTGTTAGTTAAATATCAATATAGCATTGTGAATGAAACATTTATCACTTGTTGATCTTATTAAAACTTATTTATTTAAAAATTCAATAATAAGTGGAATCAAGTGTATTATATTAATTTTTTAGGCAATATTTTATAATTCAATCAACATGAGAAATCAGATAATATATAGTGAAAAACATTGAGATACTACTTAGACACATATTTTACTATATAAGTGCCATAATTACGTTTCATTTGGCAAAATCTAGGCACTGATATCCCAGTAAGATGTATAGTTTTAAATAAAAAGTTACATACTAAAATCAAAAGACTACGATACTACAAACCGTAGCAATAGCTTCTACAGAGTAAACTTTATTGCGTGTTAATTAAAAATAAAAATTATTATATCATTATTTAAGATGAATATAAGGTAAACTCTAAAAATAAATATACATTGTATGTATGTTTACTTAATATTTCTTTGATTTATCGACTACGAAATGCCATCTATCGACATGCTTTACAACTAAAGTAAAGTTATGGTTATACTTTCTAAGCTTTGAAAACACTCCGCTCGAGTAAATAAGTTAGTATTTACTTTAAGCATGTGTAGATGGCGGGATAAAACGAGTTATAAAATAAAAAAAAAGTTCTTAATTTATGAAATACAATCAAACAATAAAATAAGTAATTACTATTTATAATATTAGTATAAACTTACATATTTCGGTATACTAGTGGTCACTGTCGAAAACATATGGTTGTCTCTTTTTTATTAAATTAAAGTATTTTTGAAGATTTTTTTTTCTTAAAGTGTAATTAATATAAAAAATTATTACTTTTATAGATGAATCTTATGGATTTATTTGCTATGACTATTGATGTTAATCAAATCCAAAAAGTTAATATTTCATTTAAAAAAAATGAGGTTTTAATCCCTATTATACTATTTTGCCTGCCAGAACCGTAAGTCGATTTTCTCTTGAAATATATTTGATTTCAGAAAAATATATATTACAACAGTTGTAATAAACTTCAACACGCATATTTAAATGCCCACTCGAGCGGAGGGTCAGACAAAAGATAGTTTAATTACCTATAACGAAACATGTTGCTGCAAACCTTTTGGGATTACGCTCAACATCCCTCTATGGACCACTTTAAACATTGGCTCATGAACGTTAAAACTGACGAGTTGCAAAACGTGAAAAGAGCGAATCAAAAACATTTTCGAATATATGTAAGCAGTGGCGAGCATTTAAACAGATAACACGCTATTACAATACACTTTTAACAGATAACACGCTATTACAATACACTTTTAATAGTTTTTATGCCATAATTATCTTTATGTAGTGTTCAATTTATTTGATTTTTTTTTAGTATTCGTATTTTCATCATAAATTATAACTTAAATTGACTTCTATAAATAAATGTTATACTTCTTATAAAATTCTCTGCCTTTTTTTAGAATATAAACATGATTTATTCTATTAAAATATGTACTATATTGTCGTTTATTATATAACAACATATTTAATTTCAATTTTTTCATTTTTCCAAATGATTTATTAACAGGTTTACAAATGACATTGCAAATATTTTTATAAAAACAAGAAAAAACAGTATCGTCCATGAACAATTAATGACAACTTTTAATTTACGTGATATTTGAGTATATGAAAATGAATTTATTCGTCATAAAAATTACATTACACTGAAAATAAAGACAATTCACAATTTATACAATTGAATAAACTAACTTTCAATATCATTAGATGACAATACTGAAACAACAAAATAATTTCCTTTGTGCGAAGTTTTCGTTGGCCGGATTTGTACACGAAAATTGAGGTGAATGTGTGGGAGGTTATATACAAACAGACAATAGACAATACCGCTTTGTTTTTGTGATGTATATATGTGCGTAAATCGGGCTGCACTCGTGCTAGCACACAACATATATAGTGTTGCAAGATATGCACTAATTACTGGGAATGCGTATACACTATTTAAGCTATTTCACACATACTTTATAAGAAATGTTAACTTAACCTTAAAATGGATAACTCGTTTTGACTTTATTCCTTCTCCTAAAGTCACTAATGTTATTTTTTTTTTTTTACTATAATGTGGCATCATTTTACGGATAGTGTGCCAAAATTTTATTTAACAACTTACTTACAAACCGTATTTAAATATAACATCTGTAACCGGGTGGTTAACATGCAGTTTCTAAGAGCCGCCATTTCTGAGGTCCCAAGTTTGATTCCCGGTAGGGTGAACTTTCTGTAGATATTACCTTGGGCGGGTCTGAATGTTTGTTACCTTCGTTGTATCAAAACATCACAAATACACTGTTAAAATCTTGTTCATTTGGGATCTTCCAAATGTATGAGATGTTTTAATAATATGATAGTACACGAGTCATTAAGTTTTATCAATGACCTCGTGTGACACCCAAATATTGAATCAAGTACAAGTAGTACATTCAAAGAAGTTTATATCATAAATTAATAAAAAAAAACTCTGACCTCTCTGTCCCTGAGGAAACTCTCAAATATATGTTATTAAGTTATTTCCTCGCTTAATTCAGTCACTTATATTCAAATTAAAATAAAGCAGTTAATTAGTACTCTTGGTGAGCTTTAAAGTTGTAAGATCGGGATTGGATCAGTTTTGACTATTACAAGTTGCTGGTGTATTTATGTAAATGTAAATATAGTTATTTTTATAGGTTCATACATTAATCACTCATTTGTCACTCTAATGACAGTCAAAACTATGATAACTAATTTGTTTCGTTTTAATCACACACTATTATTAAACTTCCAATCATCCATAGCAGAGAAAAGAATTTGATGGTAGCAACACTAAAAAACATTCGCATCTAGTATTTCACAAAGATAATTGAATTCAAAGAATTACATTAAATAAATAGCCTTGGCACTTAATATTCAATAACTATGTAATATATATACATACCTATATATACCGAAGTGTAGTAGGTAAGTAATATTTTTTCATTTAATATCTAGTTTTAAAACAGCATATTTAAATGGTAATTACTTCACTATAATAATAGTAAATAAATATACGCTTTTAGAAATCTATAAAATAGAATTATCATACTAAATTATACGTTTATTCTGACAAGAAGAAATATTATTCAGAATATTGCAAATGCAAATACGCAACGTGTTTGGCATTATGAATTAATTATTACCTCTCAGGGGATCTGGTGGAAAGAAAAAGAAATATATATATGTTTTACTAGCTTTCGCCAGCGGCTTCGCCCGCGTGGACCCTAGGAAAATGTTTAGTAGGATAAAAAGTATCCTATTATCTAAGTCAGCTAATACCCTATCTGTATACCAAATTGCATCAAAATTCGTTCAGTAGTTTCGGCGTAATTGACGGACATACATCCAAACAAAGAAACTTTCACATTTATAATATTAATAGGATTTATAGCACAGCTACTTTTATCATAGCTACCTACTCTAGAGTCGTCGTACAAGTTGTCCACAGTTGAAATTGAGACAATCATTTTTATCATGTCATAGAAGTTTGCTAAGAAAGGATTTTGAAAATAAAACCCGTAAAAATTTATTATATGAAGGGTTAAATAAAGAGTGATATGGATGTAATCCGCGTGGGCAGATGCCTAAAATATGAAAAACTAATGAACACTCTATAAGAGTTATTTATTAATTGCAATCGTTTTTCAAATTAAATAATGCCAAAAAGTTTCAAATATTCTACATTTGTTCTGTCTAGGCTGTTAACAATAACTTTTGAAAACTATAAACTACGCTATCGGTTCGTAATTATTAATAATGACTGATAAGATATCACACAAATAATAATTATTATTTATTTCCTTTAAAAGGAGGTACATTGTAGATTGAAATACTATTTGAGTTCAGCCCATTTAGCCATTACACAATTCTCAACATATGTATTCGTTACTTATTTTTATGATTTAAATATTCCATAACACTATAAAAAGCATTATCACACAACCATATAAAGAATACTTTCTTATTATGAAAACCAAAGTTCAGTTTATTTAGAACTATTTGACCTTATACCCTATATGGCGCCAAATAAAGCTAAAATGTTCTTTTTAAAAATCTACCCAGTGGTTTTTGAGATTATCCGTAACAAAGAAAAAATTTAATCTTTCCTCTTTGTAATATTATGTATCGATAAAATATACATTCTTTTGTTATTATCAGCAAAGGAGCCGGCATTTGTTGTATCAAAATATTAATTATACAACCGACAGTCGTAACCACGACCCGTGAAGGTCATCCATTGTGACCATATTAGGCACACTTCATTCTATTTCTAATAGTTTCTTAACCTTTCCGCGTCTCTGTTGAATCATGCATCCCAGAAATGAAACGATATCTTTACTTTTAATTTTTTTTTATTTATCATCACTTTCATACTTTACAATCGACTTAAATCTAGGGGAATGGTAACTTTTTATTATCACTACGTACACGTACGCCCAAACATCCATGACCATTTTTTACATAAATAAAAAATATAGTACAAAATTATGAAAATATCCGTTTCTTGCTGGCGTCCCGGCCGTTGAGTTGGCGAGATTTATAAATAACGCTGGTGATAGCTTGGCGGATGGATACTAGTGACTAAGCTAACTAATCTAATGGTGGTAGGCTGAGCCTCCGAAACTGAGTTGGCTGTATTCGTGTTCGTTGACGTAAACTGGTACCTTAACGGGGACGGGGTAAGGCTTCTCTACAGGGACAGGGATGTGTTTCTCGATGTGCACGGGGTAAGGCCTATCGACGGGGACCTTCACAGGGTAGGCGACGGGTTTCTCTACAGTCACTGGGATGTGTTTGTAAACGGGGTAAGGCTCAGGCACGGGCACCTTGACGGGCACCGGCACTGGCTTCTCGACTGGGACAGGGTAAGGCCTGTCGACTGGTACATGGACGGGGTAAGCCACTGGCTTTTCAACAGGGACAGCTACTGGCACTGGTTTCTCCACTGGGTAAGGAGCAGGTACATGTACAGGGTAGGGCCTGTCGACTGGCACTTTGACGGGGACTCCTACGTGCTTGATGACGGGGTAAGGTTGGGGAACGGGCACTTTAACTTCTACGGGGTATGGCACATGTTTCTCCACGGGGTAAGGTTGGGGAACTGGCACCTTCACGGGGTAAGGCACGTGTTTCTCAACGGGGTAGGGTTGGGGTACGAGCACCTTGACGGGGTAGGGCCTGTCTACGGGCACATGGACAGGGTAGGGAACCTTCTTCTCGACGGGATAGGGGGCGGGGACATGAACTGGCACTTTGACGTACTCCTTCACGTGAACCGGCACGTGTTTGACGACCTCGTAGGGCTGCGGCACGGGGACCTTGACGGGGTAAGGGATGTGCTTCTCGACGGGGTACGGTACAGGCTTTTCCACTGGGTACGCGACTGGCACTCCCTTGACGAGAGTGACTGTTCTAGTGACATCAGTGTGGTGACCCAGCGGGATTCCGTAGCCGGCGTTCTCGAAGCCACCCTCTTCGATCAGGTTGTAAGCACCGCCCAAGCCGTGAGCATTGCCGATGTACCCAACGTCAAGTCCGCTGATGCCGTATCCATAGCCGAGGTTCAGGAGACCGCGTTTGTCCAATTTCTTTTCCAACGGCTCGGCCTTTTTGTCTGTCGTCTTCTTCTCGCTGGCAGCTGCCGCCGCTACCAGCAGGAAAACTAAGCAGATCTGTAATAAAGAATTCACGATTAATTATTGATTCAGATGTTTGTATAGGTCGTGTTTTTGTTGGATGCCGGATCTTACTGATTCTAGTTAATCGATTAGTGGACGATTGATGACAAGATGACATGAATACAAAGAAAAATGCCTATAAACCTCTAAATGTGACGCCTAACTACAATTTCATTGTTCATTTAATTGCGTACGATCTTTTCTGTTTGATTGTTTTCAGTATAAATATACAATTATGATTGCTTAGTACCTATCTATAAATAACTTAGCATAGCTTTTTATGAGTGCAGTCTTACTATATTTTTTAAATAATTTATATAATAATACTAACTTTTTTTTTGTTGCTTTAGTGCTCATTACGTTCAGTACATTGACATGTCAATTAAAAGAGGAACATGTCGGTTACCGTAGAGTTGCGTTACAATTATTACACGTCATTATCTTGGAAACCACATGAGACGCGCTCGCATTGCCAACTGCCCATCATTTATCATTTGCGTAAAATTTTCTAGCGCAATGCTCGTCATGGGATTTGCACCAATGTGTCGTCACTTTTCTTTGTTGGCAAAATACTAGGTCAATATAAGAAAATTTATAAGAGATTTCTTTCTAGAATAATTTCTTTTTTTAGCAAACGAATAACAAATCATATTGAGTTGATGAATATCGAAAAAACTCGTATTATATAGCTCAATGTTATAAGGAAATTTTCAAATTATATTATAAAGAGGAAAGATTTGATTCTATGTTTGTTTGATTCCTTATTTGTTTGTTTATTTGCAACGAATAGGCTCCGATACTACTGGATCATATGCGGTGAACTAGGCTATATTCTATCCCGAACAGCAAACAAAGGGATGAAATGGGAATGGAAAATTGTATAGGGAAATAAAACGTTACCCTAGCAATCATCGATTACTATTAATATGTCATTGTTATTATATCCGTGTCTTGATATCCAAATAAATAGTTCCATAGGGATCACGTGGGCGGAGCCGCTGTACGGAAAGCTAGTTGTTAATAAAATAAGAAAGTCTTAAATTTTGATAAATCTATGGGTATTCTTAACTGTTGCGTTTTTACATCTGACTAATTTGCTAAGAAGTATCTGTTGCAACAAATTATTGTTTGTTGTTTTATTGACGAAAAAATATCAACACCAGGTTGTCTATTGACATTATTCATAATCTTATTTGCCTCGAGTAAACTCACATGACCGAATGATTTATCATAATATTCTATTTCACAGGTATCTATCGTCAATAATTTCACATAGGTACAACGTAAAGCAATCGGACGTGAAATACATCCACTCGTGTTTACCAACTGTTTGTATGATGGTTATGTCAAAGTGCGAGCGCAATAGTTCATCAAACAGCTGTCAGATTTGACGCGTCTATTTGTAAATAAGTGAAACCGTATTTGAAACTAGCGTAAATACGATGTCATCTATCAATTCCGCTACAATAAGAACTGATTTAAATTCTATTTGCGACTTTCTTAAGAGTTTTAAAAAATATTTATAATTTAGAACTTTGTGCGCGAGAAAGGACCTTTGGTCACAACTGGTTTAATCGTCCAAGCCATAGATTAGATTATAGTAATATAATATCATCCTATCAACATTATAAATAGAAAATTTATGTATATTTGTAAGTAATTTATCTAAAAACTACAACAATTGCCCCAATATATCGAATCTATTGCCCACACAAATTCAAGTGCAATCTGTAACTATTATCGAACAAAAAAGAATGTTCAATTCGAGTGTCATCTTCTATTTTATGAAAGCTCGCGTACAGCGAAAGTGAAACGAGGTTAACGCGCTCGACCGACAGATGCCGCGACCTTGACCGCACGCGGCCTACTAAATTCCGTATCGCATAATGACGTCTTACTAAAATTTATATTTAATACATCGACAAGAGTATTGGCTATAAATCATAATGTTACAGAAATACACAATTAAGTTTTGTAACTTTTATTTTTAGTATTTATTTCCTATCTTATTTTAAACAACTTATATCATTCAATATTGATGAGGCTATTATTCAGAAATGATTTTATAGTATGCGTAATGGTAAGTAGGCGGTTGGGAAAACATCAGTTAAGTTAGAATCGACTTTAATATAAATTATTATTTTATTCAAGTAAAGAAGGCAACTTTAGTAATACTCGAAGTCAACGAAAATGGCTTATTCAAATGCAAAATGCAGACATAACGATGACATCAGAATATGAGTTTACATACGATTATGTTAAATAAGTAATTTTGCATACAAACTTGTTATCACAGTATGAAATCGAATTGGGTTTTTCGGTTAAAATGAACTATGATTGACTGTGGCAAGACCTTGCTAGTCAGTTTTATGTTGAAGAATTTTTTTATGTATATGATCCCAATTCTTGTATACATTATTTTTCTCTATTTTCCGTTAAAATATATACTCCATAATTTCAAATGAAATTTACGTATTTTAGGTAAAAATTATAATATATAAAGAAATCCTTTTTTTTTACTTTTTATAAAAAAAATAAACGACTTCTTTACAAAAATCACGCAATGCTTACATTGTTTGACATGGTACGATGCTAATCAGTGTACTCACTAAGGAGGTCGGAGATCGGGTAACTCGTGGGATAATGTTACTTCTTATGGCATGTTTCGCAAGCGGCTACTTACCACACCGCGGTCAGTATTCTATTCTAGTACTATTCAGACTATGTGTTATGGGAATAACTGCATTGTTGGAATTGTACTACAATTGAATGTTTAGTGTTATTATATTTGGTCAGTTTTTATTTTTGTTTTTTTTTTTTTTATTTCTAGAGAATATTAAATATACGATATTTAAGGAATATATTTATCATAATTAAAAAAAATATCTTTATTTTAATTAGCAATTTTGATCTAATCTGATGCTGAAAAAAAATTGAAAACAATATTTTTTTATTTTATTTCACAATTTTATGTTGTATTTTAGAAATTAAAATAATTATGTAAGTTAATTAGTATCAGTGTCACTATTATAAAACAAATGTGATTTCTCGAGCAAAAACTTGCTTAGCCCAGAAGCCTTATTTCAACTGTTACGTGCGTGAAGAAGAAAATGTCGCATTTTTACGACTTAATTCTAACCATCCTTGTAACGAGGTAACTGCGACCCTTATAAGACAAAACAGGTAAAGCGTAAATAAATTATCTGTTTAGCAAGCAAACAGTATTAATTAAACAAAATGTCCGATTTAAGTTAGTTTTGTTTAGTTATAATGTAAAGAATCTAATGATATATTATTAGAAAAAAAAAATCACAATTCAAATACTTTTCTTTATGAAAAATACACCTCGTTTTTTATATGTTTGAGCAATCTAAAAATTTAAAACACTAATTTTCTATGAGGGTATAATTTATTCAATAGTGAATTTATTTGTTGGTTATTTTTATTATATTTTAAACAGACTTTTAATAAATTTAATTATTTAACTCCATAGTTGAATTAGATCATTCTATGCACCTCACGTAACCATTATACAAAGTCTTAGCAACTTCAGTAGTTAGTTAAATTTATATACTAGTTCGCATTTCGTAAGAGTATCGATACTGTAACCAGTATTGCGGGGATGTACTGAGGCTTCCTATTCCCTTCCTGGTTCAAACCCGTTGCCAGTGAAATGGCCATTGTGACGTAACTTAGTTTGTGGGAACTATTCATTAGAACCTATTTGAATAATATAAAAACAAAGATATATTAAATATAACCTATTTGAATGATATAGAAATAATAAATAATATAAAAACAAAAAAGATATTAAAACAGTCTCTCTTTTTAAATAATTATTTGTTTATTTATTTTAGTGTTTTTAATTATTTTCGACAACGAAAAATGTATGCTATTATTATTGCGGGAGTATATTAAAATTAATATACCAGATTGATGATTCGATATTCAAGTACAGGAAATCATCAAAAATTATTTAATTTGTTTTATAATCACAATATAATAAATAATGGAATATTTTAGATTCACTTAATTTCAATACTTTAAGGACTTGTATGGATTTATTATGTATATCGGTCAATAGTAAAAGAGTTATAAATTCTACGCTCAAATTCTCTAAAATTATCCTGAAGAGTTGCTAAGTAACACTGTATCATTTGTTATACTGTATTGCTGACGCGTTTATGTCTTCTACTCTACAGTTGCGTTAGAATGATTTTATTCAGTAAAATATTGATTTTACAATTATTTTACAATGTTTTTACAATTCAATAATCAAATTAATCATTAGTATTATATCCATATTCCCTAAAAAAATAAAAAATAGATTAGGTTACCTTGTAACAAAGAAAACTACATTAGAATTTAAATGGATTCTTACTATGTGAATAAATGTTTTGTTTCAAAAATTAGATCAGTATATCCGCAAAGCGTTGACTTCAAAAAAGTGTGCCATATATATTCTGGAAAGAAAGAATAGAATCTGATCTCAAATGGAATTCGCCTGACAACTTCTACACTTTATTGCCAGAATATACACCGTTATATATAGCACTGTTAACACAACCACGGGACACACGGGACGAATTTTTTTTTCACTTTTTTGAAGTCATCACTTGCACTATACACTTCACTTCACTTTACGGTGTCCACTCACCGTTTTTTTCATAATGCCTCTTGTATGTTTGTTGTCGGGATACGGACTGGATAACTGCGATTGGTGTTGTGTGCTTATATAGGTGGTTATTTGGAACTTTCGCCACTGCCCCCGGTGTAGAGCGAGCCGCGCTTGGACGCAGCAAGTCCTTCGTATTTGTTCGGCCGGTGGCGGGAGACAGACGCGCCGTGCGTTCTAACTTTGAAATTTGCTACTGTATTTTGTTTTCAAACTTCGAATTTTCACAAAAGTTTTGTTTGTTTTTCGAATTTGGAATAGCTTTTAAATTCCTCCAAAAAAGTTTTGATTCAAATATTATACTTTTGAACGTCTTCAAATCGGTCGTAAAGTATTTCTTCCGTCGCAGTAACTCTCGTTTTGTCAGTGTTATTTTTTTTTTTATTAAAAAGTTATTTTTCTTAACGACTGATAAACATACTGAGTCCACTATAACCTCTTTTACAAAAGGTCAATTTTCATGTTACCCAAATGTAAACTCGTATAATTAGAACACGCTTAAAACTGTAACATTGACACTAATATCTTATAAAACGTTCTCGTGAACTTGTTTACGTGTGTAAGAGTATAATTATACAAAAAAACATCATATATTTAATTAACGTCAAAAAGATATGCATATCGCTATCAAGTTACAAAATTCCACTAAATAGTTTAATCCATAATTAACATAAAAAGATCAGATACAGATGATACGTTATTTTCATATACCAGTGTTATTGTACTGTGTTAATATATGTGCTTCAATGAACAATGATGTGTTAATATGACAGCTAATAACATAATAACACGAGTTGACCATTAGATGTGTTCTAAATATTCTAAAAGCGTGAATATTGTTTTGGTTATTGTATGTTTACCGACGTAACGTGTCCTATAATGCTCCAATAAGCCCGTCTTGCATCGTATAAAAGTAATATAAACGATCACTATTGATTTATAGTGCATTTATTAAGCAATTGTAAATTATGAACACTAATTTAACGTTTCTAAACACGTGAAATATGCACTTGATTCAACTATGTAATTAAAATGAATTTCTGTTAAATGGCAGGCGTATCTTTGATTTATTTGTCGATTTGGTCAATATTTATTTTAAAAAGGTAACAGTTTAAAACAAAAAATAATAAACAAGCATAATATCTCTCTTTATAAAATAAATTTTTTCGAATAACAGATCTATTAATGATATAACAAAACTAAGTAATTTTTTGTAAATTTCTTTCATCACGCATTCTCCCTGATAGCTATGATTCGATTCCATCCACAGGGAAGGTACCTACGTGGCCCAGTAGTAGGAAAATTAATAGGCTGTTAATGTTGGTGACTGATGAAAGAATAAATTTAGTGTATTTTTGTTGTTATTCAAGTTATTTGTTTAACTTTTTTATGTTTTTATTTGTTGTATCTTGCACTCGTTCCTCTTATCAGCTAAAAAGTCCTCAATGGGTATAGGTACAAATGTTGGCTAATTCAAAAGTGACTTTAATAAGCTTGTTTGAACAAAAATATTTTGAATTGAACTTGGATAAAGGTTGGCTTTGACATTAGAACATTATTTGTGCTTTAAAACCGGGATTACATTTTTTTTTACCAAAACTGTATAGGTATATTGATAATTCTTACACCACAACGAATTAGAGTTCACCCAAACATAGATTACACAACACATTACAGTGTTTCATGTAATTCTTAATTAATTGTCTTTTTCCTTGTCCATTGTTTAATTGTACAGGAAACAAAAGTTTTCTCGCATTCATCGGAAAGTGGAGTCCTTGCGCCGGCGCAGCCGATAATATCAACGCCCACGCGGAAGTCTCGAAATTACTTGTAAAATCGATTTATGTCGAGACACTTAATTGTCCGAAAACGGCTCTTTGTATCGATACAGTTTCCGAGATTATTATTTATAAACTATCGAATATAATTTTCCGGGACCTTGATAATGAAGGCATGACGCACGTTGAGGTTATTTGGCATATTACAAAATATCTAATTTGAAGCGATTGCGAACTCAATTTAGTGTAACATGAAATAAAGGTACCTATAGATTATTAACTCGCTTGTTGGAAAAGTAATTACGAGTGTCTTACTTATTACAACGATAAATGAACACACAACGAAACAACACCAATATATGTTGTTATAAACAAACATAAGGGTTATGGACACTGTGTAGTTATTGAAATATATAAAACTTGGTTAAAATGAAATAAGTTATAGCCTTAACTTAATTTTAGCCTATGCCTATGCGTATTACAAAGCATTCTTTTTCAATTCTGTACATTACTTTCGGTGCCTCTTCGATTTAAATAAACAATTAATCGAATTTTTCATGTTTTTAATATTAGTACAGATTATACATAAAATTTGTTCATATGTTTACTTACATAAAATGGGCAACAAAGAATCTTATAGGTACCATTTTTAAGTGGAATTATATTTGTAGTCTTTTACAGTTTTGTTGTCTGTATCGGAATCGACAAAAGCAATATACAACTAAATTAATTTCAGGAATTATTTATTTAGCGATAAAACTAAATAAAATAAAATTCTTTAATTCAAATAGAAAATCAATCAATACCTATCTGATACTATACACAAAGTTTTCACACTCGTGTTACGAAAATTTGAAATAATGAAGGTCTAAAACAGTACTTCCCAAAATGTGAGTCGCGACCGACCAGTGGGTCACGCACGAGCGAATATTGAGTGTGCGATTCACTACTATAGATATAAGACCTACACTTTTTTTATTATAAATTGGGAACCACAGGTCTAAAACAACACGCAAGCTAGAGGCAACATAGATAGGTATTTCAAATTCTATGATATAATCTACGTGCGGAGCGCAGACAATTGCTGTAGCTTCAGTTCATTGGTATATAAACTAATGAATGAATATAAAGCACAGAAATAACCCTCGTACAATCAATGTAAATGAACTATGAAGCACAATTAAAGTTCATCTTAATAAACAATTAACCTTTCGCTTGATGACCTATCGTAATATGAATGATAATCTAGAGCGGACTTTTGATATAAATCAATCAATAATTTATTTATGACATAAAATTTGGTTTACAAAAAAGACGACAAAGCATATAAGTTGATAAGTGATCATATTATATAACCACATTGTATGTCCGAAACTCAAGCATTTTTTACTGTCATATTGAATTTTTGTTGTTTACTGCTTGTTACGGTTAGTAGCTGTCAAGTTTCATATGAATCAACAAAACCCTGAAAAGAGTTGAGGGAAAACTATTTTCATGTAGTTCTATATGTTATGGAAGTGAAATTAATTAAATCCCCATGAAGAAATTATTGTTTTCAAGCCATGGCCATCCATTGGAAAGCATAAATTGTGTTAGTGTTTTAATTTGATGATTTTACTTTTTAAGTAATTATAAAGCTATCAGCTTACAATGACAAGTTTTTGCGTTTGTAAAGTATTATTATTTCACGTACTCAGCTATTCATTTAGATCATATTAGTTTGCTTTATACCTTTAAAATTAATTAAAAAAGGAGAACAATTTATAGATAGGTGATTTCTTCTAAACTCATTATATTTCAAAAAATTTCTTTTTTCTTTATTATTAGATTATTATTATCATTATAAGACCATAGCTATTTTTCTCTCTATTTAAAATGTATTAATCTGGTAATGAAGTAATTTTTGTGAATTTCATTACTATTATTAGAGCTGGTGAGTTTCTTGCTCGTTCTTTTTATCAGGTAAAAGAAGTCCTGAACGAGTGGTAGGAAAAAAAATGTTGGACGATTAAAAAGCACTTTTAAGTAGTCTATTTAAATAAAGATTATTTGACTTGACTTGGTTTTTTTATTAGGGCGAAACAAAATGAACGCTTATAAAATTAAATTTATTTTTCAATATAGCAAAGTTACATATATACATAACAATAAATTAATAAATACTTTTTTAACATTTAAGTGTATCTGCTCTCTTCAACCTATATATAATGATAAATTTAAATAAAGACATGAAACATTAAAAAAACCGACGTCGAACAAAGCGAAAAACTTAGTGACCGCCTGTAGGTATTGAAAGTCGCGACCAAATCAAAGCAGTTCCGGTCTGTTGGCCTTGAACCTCCTACCCTGGACCACTGTGTACATAATCAACATGTAACCAGTAAATTGCTTTAACGACATAAGTATCTATCAAGTTTTTTACGTGTAACTTATTTTGGCTGATTTGTTATTGCTTGAAACCGTGTTAATAATAATTCTTCTACTGACCAAAGAGTCAGTAAAAATATTTTTAGACTAAACACTCCTTAAGATTTCCATAAATTCAACCCATAAAGGGATGAAATCGTGTTAAGCGAGCTTCAGTGATAGGTAAAAATACTCGCTATACAAAAAAATTGGTGTATCTTTTGTAAATGCAAGACATAAATTAAAATTTACTAACCTTTCCAGCATTTAAAGACTTGAACGATATTCTCTAATGATGTAAGAAAATCTTTCAACTCTCACATGTAGTTGTCATACTGCCTTCACTTTGTATATTTATCGGGCGGGTGATTGAACGATACAATGTTTTATCAAGCGAATCGTACCAAACTGAATTAAGTTTTTACAAGCTCGCCTTCCTGCCTTAAAAGTAGATAATCTTAATGAACTATTATTATAGAATGAACATTAATTAAAAAAAGTAGATTAATTTATATCTGAGAACTAACTTCAATTTATTTCATGGAAGTATTTCTAAATATTTATTTATATTAGCAAACGCCAGCTGCTAAGTTATATTGAGTTAGTCATGGCGCTCTTTCGGTCAGTGTAGAGATTAAGTAATTTTTGAAAAGCTCTATGATCGGGACTTGAACTCGGATATGTCAGAAAGGTAAATTTTATGAAATAAATATAAAAATTATCATTTAAGAACTTCTGCAACAGATTCAGTTGCTGCAATTAGCAACTAACATTTTGTGACAAGGCAACAGCTCCACAACCACTAACAATACTCTCTAAGCTTAGGGACACGTTCTGGAATTTTCCAAAG